AACTGTCGCAAAATGATGCTTCTCCCATCAGTTTTTCAATCTGACTTTAGGTTTCATTTCAATCCGTCAAGACGTACGTACGTTTTGCTGTCTACACGCCACGTTTTATTGGATAGGATTTGTCCTGTCCCACAAAACGTAAAATAAGACGTAGCGTGTATACCCGCCTTTATACGTGTTTGTAGCCAACCTTTTTTTTGATGTGTTCACTTTTGCCTAATATAATTCTGTATGAATTATTAACATTGTTAACGCGATATTTTGTCGTACTATGAATTTTGTTTGCTTTATGTCAAGATACAACTCTGCCTGTTCACTTGTGACACTTTCGTTAAAACTCTCTGGAGATATCAATACTTTCTGCAAGAAGTACGTTATAGTTAGCATATCTAAGATTGCCTGTTTATTTTCTTACCAGCTGTTTCGTCTAGAACGTATTCTCTTAAAAATTTCATACGGATATATGTAATTGAATTGAATTAAATAGAGGTGGTGATAAAGTACAATTCCGACTAACACTTTCACACCTGTTTTAATTTTAATTTTGATTGTTATGTAGTTCTGTATACGTACTGCAGCTTCTTGTCCACAGTAGAGCTTACTTTTATTATTCGGATGTCCCTTGTATCTATACTTTTCTCTTCGAGTAAATACATTAGCACTTTCAGGTTCAATCATGTTCATGAACATATTTCGACAATTCAGCCAGTGACAGGTCCTTACTTTATAGTGTCACCTGCAAGGTCTGTTTTTCGACCTGTCAGCAGACGACTGCTAAGGTTTGCTAGAATATTCATACCATTCCAAAGGGCAAGTATTTCGTCTGATGACGTCCCTGCACTCTATTCCTCCTCCCACTCCCATCAGTTTCCCCCTCTCCGGCACTTTCGGAGCCGCGGATTTACCAGACGCTGATTAATGGGATCCGGAGCCCGGTTAATTCCCACCAAACGCGCTGCCAAAACTCTCGGGACGATCCGTACTCCGGTGTTTAGAATGTGACTTGGTCCAATGGCGACGTTAAAATATACAGGGGATGCGTAAATAATTCTTCTTTAGAGGTTGCTTTACTCGTTTGTCTGCATCTATACAAGAGGGAGTCAAATGTCTCCTGATGATCCGGGCTTTGGTGTTTAGAATTCAACCATTCGACTATATTAAAAAAAAACCGTCTCTGTCAAACTTTATGGGGCAGAATGAAAGGTACATTGACACCACCTCCTTCCAGATCATTGAGAGTACTTTCTTTACCATGATGGAAGGCAGATACTAATTCAGTCATCTAGTAATTCATTTTATACTTACTAACGACTATTTTATTTATAAAAGTTCCTTGCCACAAAAAACGCTACAAGCAAAATACTAATGATAATGATTCCGTTTGAGGTCAGGTAGAAATAAAATAAGATAAACAGTTTTTGACTATGTTAATCATTTCTACTTTTTAGAACTTGAAACACCTTAAGATTTTAAAGGGCAATGAAACAGTAAAACAATTATTCCATGATGTATGGCAGTATATGACAAAACTGATATAGGTTCGATTCCCCGTATCAGGTTTAAACAATAGTCAGGTATTTCTAACAAGGTGAAATGTACAACTATTGCAGGAGGTGACAGTAATAATAATAATATTAATAGCGTTTATTTACAGAGCAAAAAAATTAAAAGAGAAAAAAATTGAAAATGGGAGAAACAACATCAATTCCTGCAAAAGGGAGTAGTAAACAGACAAGCTGATCAAAGTACTGGCCCAACAAAACAAAAGAGCAGATGAGTACTTAACCAAATTATATAAGTTAATATTGAAAATTATAATTAAAAGCGTCAAAAAAGTATATATAAAAAAATTATATAAAAAATATAATTTAACGAAAGAGGTCAAATCATTTTAGGCAGATTTAACAAAAAAACATTGAATATAAAAGGGAAGGGAACAATATAATATAAACACTACAATTCATCTAATAGAAATTTTCTGTAACTTCTTTTGAAAGCTGACACAGACATAGGCTAAAGGTTTGTGGGGACGTGATTGTACAAGTGACAGTGAAGTGAAATGAGAAAGATGTAATAGACGTAGATCTACGTTGATGAAATGAACTGTTCGTGAATATAGGCATAGTCCAACTGTTGAGGACACTGCAAAAATTCAGAGGAAACAAACAGCCGTTGAAGCTAATAGCGTTTGTGGGAGGGCAAGAAGAAGTGTAGTTACGGTTTTTACAAAACTCATGTTTTCAACTGTCAGTAGATTACAGATGCAGGATCAAGTTTTTTGCATCAGTGGTGGCTTAATCAAGCTATATTCATTATTAATGTTAACGAGACGTTCTGCGAATACTCAACTTGTATTTAAATTACTTTACACTGATTATCTACAATGATCTAGACACACGAGTCTATATAATTGTTGTAGGCAAAACTACAGCTACTGAAGGGGACAACGCGCCTGTTCTATTGCTTACCTCGAGATCAATAAATCCCAAATGTATTATAATAATCATCTAATTAACATTTTCCTGTGTGTACTTCGTGTAGCTTATTGTCGAAATTCTGAGTCAATAAAGGTATCTAGATATGTAAACAACAGATGTGAATATGGTCCTGAGTTTTTCTAGTCTTATACCCGATTCATTATTGCCAACGTTACAGACCTAAACAAAGATGTCACTTGCTGATCACCTCAGTTGACGTCAAAACGTTATGGATACTCGTGCAATAGGCACTATCGGAAAATGAGCGATTTTCAGGGTATTCGACATTTTTCAAGACCGCTATGAGCGTCTTTGTCTTGAATTTCTGAAAACAAGGGAGTAAAATCGCCAATTGAAAGGAGGCGTGATTCTACTACTCTTTGAGGGACACGTATTCTTTAGTGTTTTCTTGATAAAGATCACACTCCGGGTGATTCTCTTGATAAATAGCAAGCAGTTCGGTGGCGTAATGCTTTAGGCTTTGAGTATACTAATCAGTCATTGTGAGCTTAGAATCACGTCCCAACAAATTTGTTGACTTTGGATGTTGTGTGTGACTATCTGTAGCTGGTAGGTCTCAGACCGTCAAGCGTGGGGGTACCACCCGGCGGATCTCTGAGGTGGGGCTGAAAGTCCGTAAGAAATCCTCCCTTTTCCCTAACCTAAACATTTCGATTGATGATTTTAAAGATTCAGGGTGCTTTTGCCACGTCCTCCCTTGTCAAGAGTAGGACTGAGGTACTTCTTGGAATCCTCTTATGGTACGCGAGTTCCATTCACTAGAAATGGCTTCCTATGCAGTAGTAACCTAGCATCAACTAGTACTGAAACCAGGCTCGTGACTGATTCATGAGCTAGTCTAGACCTCAGTCTAGTCAGCTGATATATCCTTTCATTAGCAAGCAGAACACAATGCCTAATGACCCAAGGACGGGTCATTTTGAAATCAATTTCTTAACTTCTCAGATTAAAGATTCAAGCTAGAAACTATACAAGCGCGTGATCGGATGATAATACCTTATTTAATGTATTCTATACATATTCCATACATTTTGTCGAACGCTGATTCCCACCCGTGGATTGGATAGATTTCCTTTTAGTGGTTTTTGAGCTTTTTCAAAGCTGGTAAAAAATCATCCATTTTAGGAAAGCAGTACAGCTTAAGTAGGCTATACTTTTTCCTCATTGCTTTATGTCCCGATTCCTGAAGTCCCATTCTAAGCGTTGCTATCTGAAATCGGGAGCGTTACATCGCTGTAATTTACAATCCCGGATAGTCGGCCATGGAACAGTCATGGAGTGCCGCGATTTGCCGGAACGAAGCCGTTTTTGATGCTCTTTTGTCTTGTACAAGGATTAGGCTGGAACCATTAATTTGAAATTTAAATACGCTTAACTTTGCAGCCAGTGCTGGGCTGATTCTTTGGGGAATTAGTAGAGATCTGGGTTTTTCAGTTATATTTTATTATTTATGGTCTTGAACAATAGAGATGTTAGAACAAACAATAAAGATGTTAGAATTTTTTTTAAAGATATGCGAATAAAATGTTGAAACATAAAGTGAGTATCAAAGCAACAACCTTATTTTATCTGAAAATGATACCTTTGAATAAATAGACATCAGGTGTCCCAAATCCAATCCACGGATCAGCATCAATGATGCCACCCTTGTTTATGACAACATATTTGAAGTTAGTTCATATAATACGGCAGCTGTGACATATCCAGGCAACCAGCATTGCTCTATCTACACCACTGTTAGGTGGCATCAAGAATAATTCAAAGCTTCCGATATTTTTTTCCTTACTAGAGCCCAGGTTCTAAAACCTGCCTATATCGACATTATTGTTTCTAACATAAGTTCAATGGATTCTCTGACATGCTATCCCAATATGACTCTTGGCTATAACAGCGTGCGAAGCTATTAGGCACTGACAGATAACAGAAGTGAATCCGTTGTTTTTCTGGTATAAAATGGCTTGTAACAGTTTACAAAAAGATCCTCGTGGTAATAACAGTAGTGGCTCGCTTTTCCTCTAAACTTTAATTTCGTCAAAATTGTTTTGAGTGATGAGAAATATCGAATAAAGTATTATGTGTGTATAAGTGAGTCTCAGAGTGATTGGTTACACTTTTAGTTTGTTTTAATTGGACATTGGACCAGCTGATTTAGTGATTTGGATAATCCTGTGAAAATAGTGAAATTAAATGTAGACATGGGACATTTCATTGTTACATAATATTTCCAAAAACATATTTCGACAGATCATACAAATCGAGCGCAGATTCAAAATTCAATTGATTTGATAACAATCGTATCTTTGACATTAATGAAAACATCTTACGACGCTTTTCCGGATTGATTGTAAGAGGAGGTTTTTTTGCCAAACTGGTTATAGGCCCCTGAACTTGAATATGTTGCGACGTACTTCATTCTTGGAATATTAATGTTAAAATGATGGATTAAGTCAATGAGACACAGAAGAGTAAAACTTGTTGTCAGTACGTTTATTTCGCTTTTAGCTGTTCAGAATGAGAGGCAGCCTCGAAACACAGCTACAATACGACCAGAGACTCTACGGGATATGAGCGCTGAGCAGGAGAGGGCTTTGAGAGAAGCAGCCGTAGCAGTTGGAGTATTTGGGTGAGTTTTTTCAGTCAAGGAGAAACCGGATAATATTTATGATTCTAAATGACGCATATCATGAAAACAATGAAAATGAGTATTTTGATGCCTTACTATGTTCAAACATCATGATACTGTTTCGTGAAAATAAACCCACGCGCATGCGATCAGTCTCACCTTTCCAAGTGCCGCGACACTCGGTGACAAAATACTATGGGGGACGGTTGACAAATGTTTTACATGGCGCTTTAGCGCGTAATTTGTGATTAGTTTCGTTAGGTTATTATCTGGTGTTACTTGAAAAACAGTGAATCAAAGATTTAACTATGGTGTATGTACTGTGCAGAGGTGGGTTGTTCAAGCAACAACAACAAGAAAAGTAAATATGTTTGAAATTGGCGTTTCTTCAATTTTCTAAAGAACAAACAAGCTTATGAATGAGTTATCAGCAACACAAATTTAATGTACACACCGCAAGCATATGTTTGATGTATTTCGTAGAAAGTGACTACTATTTAAAAGAACAAACTTTGGGATTACGTCAAAATAAATGGAAGTTGAAAAGCGACGTAATACCTTCCCTTCATTTGCTGAAATCACCAAAAGCGCACACTTCCGCAGTGTAAGAATGGAAAAAAGGCTGAACATGGAGGTCATAATATCATTCAACCAACCACTCGATGTTGGAATAGAACTGGATGTACAAGGTTAAGATGAAGTAGACAAAGAGACATACTATTCTTATTATTTATAACCTGTTTCTGGCTGATGGGTTATATTCCAGTGCCATTAATAAAAAAAGAGAACTTTTTTCCAAGTGAACATGCCTTCTCTAGTTAGTAGTTAGTAGTATCATATGTAGTAACGTATGTCCCGAAAGCTTTGGCAGAAAATTCATTGGCTTTAATTTTAACAAACACAAAATAATATCAAGTTGGCTTTGGAAACAAAAGTTTGTTTACTTATTTCACTGTCTGTCGACATTTATTTGTTTGGAAGTTTTCGCTTTAAGATGTCATATAAATAAGAAATAAGAGAAAGTATATATAACTTGGTTGGACGGGTACCCAAGGCTGAAATCTCTCGAATATTCCAGAATGAAAACATTTCACGAGGAACCATTTATCGTACAATAGCGGAGTGCGAGCAGGGAATAAATACCATGTCTCAATCTCCCAAAAAGTAAAATATCACGTGCATTTACTGCTTAGAGGTTAGACAGATTGCAGAGAAGAGCAAAAAATGAGGTTGGAATGTAAACAAGGAGACTGGCTAGTCTCGAACTGACCGACTGCATTCACCAAGCTCTAGTTTGCAAGACTATCTATTGGAATAAAGATGATATGACCTCGGAAATTGATTTTAATTAATTGTGTTTTTTTATTCACCATCAACGTATCAATTAATGAAATTCTAGCTTTTCCAAATATACGTGGCTGTGTTGAGCGGTGATAGTATCCAGAAATATATAGATACATCTAGTGATCAATGCTCTGCAGGGTCTCCAATGTTCATTTATGTTGCTCGTATGTTCAACCATCTGTGGACATATATAGACGACCCTTTTATTCCTGACTCCGCAAAAGATTACGGGCAGATCCGCTCATCCGCGAGGATGTGGCGCGCTTTGAGACCTTAGCATCTGATAGAGCAGTTGATTTTCCAATCTACCTTTCACCGATTATTGGTTCATACCTGCGGAAGTCCATAGTTCGCTGACTGCAATCGATACTCTGCTGTGTAACTTTTTATGTGCATATAGAAGCTTTAAGCTGGAGCTTTTTATTTACAGACACACCAAAAAGGCACTACTCAAGCGAGGTAGCTCGTATGAGCCTACAGGGTGTAAAGAAAGAATTCAGATGTCGTACTGGCTTATAATGTGCTCGAGATTATAATATACAGTGCGTTTCTTAAACGGGACAAGTTATAAAATTTCATAATGACAGCTAGGCGCCATTTTGGAGCAGTTTTTTTATGGAATTCTGGGGCCGTGTAATACCTTATTTTGAAGCTTCTCATAGTGATTTATTTCCCCAAAATATAAAATCACCTTCTTTCAAAATGATGGAGAGGAGGCTGTTAGGGGCTTTTGAATATTGAATCGCTAATATTTCAAAAACTAGTCATCAAAACGTTATAGGATGTTATATCAATATCCGCTTTTTCAAAGAGTACATCTAAAGGTGCATTTAAATATGGGACATTGACAGATTTTGACGTTTTTTTCAAACAGAATGGTCCATATTTTGCTTTATGACGATTGGTTGTTGAGTTATAAGCGTATCAATGTATACGTACAAAAAAACTCAACTTTAACTGCTTGCCTTTGTAGAAGTAGTGATTTTATATTTGATGGAAAAAATGGAACCCAGCAGCTATCTTGAAATTTCCAACTGCTACTATTAGGCTAAAATATAGTACAATCATCTCGAATGTCAGTTTGTTAACTTGACCGGTTCAAGACACTTTTTGAAAATCACTGTATATTTTGTTAATCGTCATTAAATTGACTTCCGTATATTTTTCAAAGAGGTCCATATCTTGTACATATCGAAAAGGTACCTGCAAAGGTGATTTTGGAGTAGTGGATATCCGCGGGACTGGAAACGCGTTATGTTCAAGATAAATAATCGACACCTGAGCCAGACGAAGGCAATGTAGGATTGGCAGATACCTGGGCGTTCTTGTCTCCTTCCCTGAGGGTTTCCTCTATTTCCATTGCTTCCACACTTCTCTTAGCGATAGTTCTGGATAAAATGGATGGGTTTAACAGATTTTTTTTGCGAATCTGATACTAAGCTGACAACATATGCTTCTCATCATCTACAAGAAGGTACACTCTAGCACTGTTGTCTTCATCTTCTTTATCTGTATCTTCGAAATGACAATAATAGAAGCCAACATAATGATGGGTCATGTTGGCTATGAATAGGCGGAGACAATATCTGAAATTTGAGTTTCCAGACTATTCTTCTTGTGTCCCGAAAGTCGTCCAGCAGCTTCCATTTTCAACTATGTTTTGGTTCTGGCACAAATATCTCATGATTTTCATTTGCTTCTACAGTGTATTCGTATTTGGACAGGATTTGTGGTTGCTCGAAATTAATGTCTGGGTATTATTGTCGCCTTTCATGGAGGAGCTTGGAATAGCTATTCGGAACGTGATATTTTTTCATACGAACATTGCAGTTGACATATCTGTTGTGAGAATGTAAAACTTACGGGCTGCTTTGAGAAAATGTACTTTCCACGTTTCCAAGTCCCCTATAAATAAAATGATAAATGAAAATCAAAGATTAGATAATCGAAGTTGAAACTTATTTGTTATATTTTCAATATTTTTATGTATAATTGTGTTACCAATGTACCAAATGATTACCAGGCATATGATGGAAGAGGTGTTGATTCAAATTTTAAATTGATTCGGAATCGTAAAATGAAGTTTATGAATTTCTCCTCTAAGGCAAATATAGTACTATGCTGCTCACATGGAGAGACTGTTATTAAATATTTCTTACAAATTTGTTTCTTTGGACTATTGTGTCGCCTAATTCCACTGGTTTATGAAAGCTCTACTACTTCCCTAACGCATTCACCTTCCTGTTGACAACGCACATTCATAATATTTTCAAGGAATTTGAAACCTCTAATGATCTATAGTCTATTTACACCCAAGATAGAATGGATCTGTGATTGCCAAAAGCAAGGACGGCGTACAGGGCCGCATTCAGGGCTACCTCCGAATGATGGACTACCACCAACATGTAAAACAAAGATGACAGTATTTAACGAAATTATCTAATATAGTGAAGTAGTTATAGTTAAGGCTGTCGCAAAATCAAATTTTTATTCTTGAAGGGGTGCTAAGTTTTTCTACAGATTTTTCAAACTAGACAACATGGAGAAATACATACCAGAGGTAACCAGCTGCTCACTATGCACAATGAATCCGTAGTCAACGAGGGGTAGAGATGACACTTTTGTACATCGAATAAATATAAGGTTGTTCAATCAATTGAGAATAGATTTTGAAGGTGCACTTCGGACTTGCATTGTCTGTAGTTTATCTGTAAGTTAATATTTCACTATAACTAGGATTCCCATAATATGTATTCTGTGACAAAACAAAAACCCGAAACTTACTCAGAATCACTTGAAGAGCTATCGTGATTAATGTTTATGATGATGGATTCAAAATCTCTCTCAATTATGTTGTACAGCTCCCACATTGCTACCTCCACTGTCTCCTGATCATGCTGCACACATTTTTGCCATCTTTCTGGTGTGACCCTCTGTATAGCAATTCTGAGCAGCTCTTGCATGTCAGAAAATTTAAATGTTGTATTGTGTGCAGCAACAAAATTCTTAACATCTGCCCATATGAGCACAGAACAATTTCTTCTCTATCCATAAGTAAGCTGTTACGACCTCGTTTCTTCCATTCGAAATTAAGATGCTTCAAAAGTTTATGAATAGTCGAACGTTTGAAATTTGATAACATAGCATCCTCGTTAACCTCCCGTAGTACTTTATCAACTGTCGGTATTTCGTTTCTGAAGAAGAACTCGTGCACTTTCCTCCGAATCGCATGCTTGTCAGCGTCATCCAACGATCTTATGATACTTTTGCGATTTTTACCCGTCATTGGCTTGGAAAAGGCATGCTTTGTCTTATGTTCTTTCAAAACATTGTACACTGTCGCTTGGCATACCCCAATTTTATCTGCCACCTTCAGAGCTATTTTCGGGTTAGTTGATGTTTCGTCTTCCTTCCGCTCTATCTTGAATTTATTCAATATGACGTCTTTCATGTCTACGCTAAGATGTCGTTTTTTTGATCGATTTCTAGGAGGGCTACTGGAGTAGCCTACAGCCTCGTCAGCAGTATCTGTACTGGACATGTTCAGGATTGGTTCAAAACAAATAATAATGAAGAATAACAATAACAAACAGAAACTTAACAAATCACTCAAATACACTTAACAACAACAACAGCAACAACCAAGCAAGGTGAATACGAAAACACGAGCACGCAGTGATGCACGCGACGGTCGGTGGCCTGAATGCAACTCTGCCTGCCCTGCCCCTGCCCCGCGCATTATTCCGCCAGGCGACCGCTTGAAATTTAATGGCGAATTGACCAATAAGAGGCGTTGTCCCCACCTGCTACCGAGAGATCACGCGCTAACTGTTATTATTTACATCTCATCTTGAATTTGGATTCAGCTTATAATATATCAGGTAACCAAATAAGTTCCTGCGGTTTTTAGCAGAAAAATAGAAATTTTTTTAGAATTCGAATACAAGATCCATTTTTCGTGGCAGGTGAATAAACGATTAAGAAATGATTCATTAGCGTTGCGTGAAATGGTAAGACGACTTAGTTTGTTATCATTTGTCAGTTCATGTGGGACCCATTTGCTTAACTTCCTCGTCTTTCCTAGCTGATGGAGATGCAAACAAATACTTTCAGGACTCACTCTGAACATTTCTGCAAGTTCTTGGCACGTTGTCCTCGAATTTGCGTCCACAACCTGTCAAAGATCCTATCGATCAACAACATCCATGGTAATGTGCTATATACAGCAACCGCACGAACTTATTTGGTTACCTGATAAATAACAATCATCAATAAAACATTTTTAAAGTACTCGAATTCAAAACTCAAAACTCTTGTATTTTCAGGCCACCAGTGTCTCTTACGATGGCTCTCAATCCAGCAAGATATACGAATAGCTTCTTACCGCCAGTATCTCAACCAATGCTGAATCGAGAACCAACACCTATCAAAGAAGATAACAGTGATAACGATGGTAAGAGCAGTACAAAGACATTTTTCCTTACCTTTTGTAAGCAGTGATAAGGGCAGTAAGACTAGTACAAATGGAAAGTTCCTTACTCGTCACTAACTCATGTAAAAAGCAATCGATACCCTGTTCTTTGAAAAGATTTTTACGTAATTGATGGGAATATGAATGGTGGTGACACACCTTACAGCCTCCATATCAATACGTTGGTTGTGCCAATGAAGAGAATACAGTTAGGCAAGGTAAGTGAATTAGATAAAGATAAGAAATGTAAACAACTGATGGAGTCTAGGCACTTTCTGTCTATGGTCAGAGAGAAACACAGTGCTGACAAATAAATAATACGTTTGGGATGAATTCATTGTCACTCGGTTGTCGTGAACGCATTTTTCTTTCAAATTTCTTTTTTTGCTCATAGTGGGGATATTTATCAACCGTTTGCAGCCTAGGAAAGATATTTTTCATTCAATAAAGTTATAAATCACACTGTTCGCAAGTGCTTTCCGCGTTACGTAGTCAGAAGTATTTATACTGTGACAGCCCTACCCGAAATATTAGACGATTTAGTTTAGTAACAATAACTTGGTTGCTAGTTTTCTAGACAGCCTGGCCCTGAGACGATACGGTTACTTGTTCCGTATAAGGACTGAATCGCATTCCGCGGAGTAAAGAAGTACGTTTTTTAGAGATTTTATATCAGTTTGGCAACACCGCCTCGGTACATGCATAGACACCTATGAGCGAATAGTATAACCGGGTGTTTCAGACCTTAACCATTGATGGTGTCTTTTAAACTGCGAAAAGGTTACGAAATAACTTGAACATATTAGAAATTCAGAAATTTCTGGAGATAAACGGGAAAAACTGAATTGTCCCAATATTCTTTTTACTTTTTCGCGACTTTATTCCGGGTTAGATTCAAAAATAAATTGCCCACTAACACTCTCTACATTAAAATTTTAAACGTTTCGTCTTTTATCATAGGTCATCAAATTTATTTCTTCTTACGGACGTCATATTGGATTTTTACTATACATTGATGAATAGAGCTCATATCCATATTCCCATAATGTATAACATGTTTTGCATTGTAATTGTGAACCTTAAATGATTTAAAAAAATTATTTTCACAGTTGGCCTTGACATATTGTCACCTGTTTATTTTTTGTTGCGTTGTGTAAACATCTTTATATGATACCTCAGCATTGATATTACTTGGATGTAGAATGTTCGCATTGATTTAGTTGCATATGCGCCCGCAGAATTTTTTGTCAGAAATGTTCGATCATCGGCAAGTTTTTGTGACAGTGTACCTGCCCTCAAATTTTTTTGAAAAGTGGAGGATAGTTAACTCTCTCAGGTAGGGGAGGAGGTTGAGCAAATCTTAAAATTCCACAAAATTGTTCAAGGGTTTCTCAGGTCCCCCTGGCCCATATTTGGTTGTCCTCGAGATTGTTTTCGACTGCTCAAATAAAGAACAGTACGATACCAATTTTATCATATTATTTAAGGTTGAGGTGTTTTGTAGGGAGGTCCGTTGTGCTAAATATAGTGCTAGTGTTATTATAGTCAAATTAGGCGACGATTCTTTACATGCTTCTGAAAAAATTAAATCTTTAACTTGTGATTTAATCGTAACACCAAGTAATGTATTATTGAAATCAACTATAAAAATGTAAGTTTATTCTATGTAATTGAAGTTTTATAATCACAAAGTATGACATTATACAGGGTTTGTCCGGAAAGTAATAGGACTGAGTCGATTTAAAAAGAAATATTGAGCCAATCGTTACAATTCTTTAAAAACTTTCAAAATAGGTTCCTTCTGCGTCGATGCAGCGCTGCCAGCGCGATTGCCAAGCATTGAGGGCGTCACGGAAAGCATTCTCCGGAATAGTCTTGAGAGCCGCGGTGCATGCTGCTTGGATCCCCTCTCTCGTCTCAAAACGCTTGCATTTCATCGGCCTTTTGAGACGAGGAAACAAAAAAAAGTCCGGGCGGGCGGCACATCTGGGCTGTAGGGCGGGTGCGGAAGCATTGAGATGCCGGCCTTGGTCAGGTAGATGTTCACAAGAAAGCCGGTGTGCGCCGCGGCGTTGTCGTGGTGCAACTTCCAGTCTGCTGCGATGTCTTGTCGGACCAAACTGACCCTTCGTTTGAGTTTCCTGAGCACTTCCACGTAAAACTTGGCGTTGACGGTTTGTCCATGAGGAACAAATTCATGGTGGACGATGCCTTTGATGTCAAAAAAGACAATGAGCATCGTTTTCACTTTGGATTTGCTCATTCTTCCCTTTTTTGGGCAAGGAAACGCCATCGTGGCCACTCGGAAGATTGCCTCTTCGTCTCGGGGTAATACTCAAAGATCCACGACTCGTCACCTGTGACTACGTTATTAAAAAATTGGGCGTCACTTTCACACATGTTCAAATTTTCTTGGCACACTTCCAGTCGCCGCAATTTCTGGTCCAAATTCTGTGTCACAATGACATGAACCACAGATTTTGGTAAATTTAACATTTGGGCAATTAAACGAATACTTAGTCGACGGTCTGAGTTCAAAACTTTGCGCACACGAGTCAGATTATCGGTGTTGATCATATCAAACGTCTCTGTCGCAGATTTACCGAGTTTCACACAGAATTTAATCGCGTTGCTCTGCTCTAATGAACGCTGCATTTTCGGCTTGCACCACTCACAGAAACACGTCGCGCGAAAATGCCTGTCCTGACTCTCCAAGTGCTCGGAGACAACTGAGTCACACAAATGAGTCATAAGTAAGAAAACTTTATTAACCTATGCGCAAATCTGTTGTTAAGTTAATTAAGTCAGATTGAAATTTTAATCATACCGCCTTGTAGAGGAGAATCAATGGTAACGTTAGAGAGTCCGCAGAGTTATTGCGTAAAAAACTTATATTATGTCAGAAAAAAAGACGAGAAAATGTCAACTTGTTGACAAGTTAGTTCCTAATTTTTTTCCGTTTTTTGCGTTTTTAAATGCTTTGAGAGGCATTACGGGAAATCACCACTGCGCCCGCGTTGTGTGTAATTAAGCTACGTCACAGAAAAATTAGGAATCACCCACAAAACATTTTATCAGTGCCTCATATCTAGGCACTGATTTGTATTTTCTACCTGACATCGCCAAATAAATTTCTATAAAATTTAAATGACAGCAAATAAAAAATAATGTAAAAATGTAGTAACTTTTTCATGTTTCTCAAATATTCCTGTCTTTGTCATATTTATAGCTTTGCACAAATCTCAGTAAGAGTATTTGAGACAAGAAACTAATGGACTTATCGTATGTACAGTGTTATAACGAGAGCACATCAAGTGAACAACTAATATGGGTACCGGGGCACGCTGGGATAAGGGGCAATGAGACGGTGGACACTGGCGAAGACAGGATCACGCACGTTTTGTGTCGCTGTGGAGCTCTTAGGCTACTATAGGCAGACTATACTGGGGTCCATTACTTTGGACCCTCAGGACGTCAAGGAGTTTGGACTCAAGGCGATTCTCAACTTCGCTAAAAGGGCGAGGCTTGTGATCTAAGGATTGTAGAGGTGCATAAGGGCCCGCTTAAGCGGCCTATGCACTGGCTCCTTATGGGGGTCGGAATGCCTCTAATTTCAGGATTCATTCATTCAAGTTGACATTTTGTAGAAAAACCTAGATTGTCATAAAAAACCTATGAAATGTCAAAAAAGACAATGTTGATTTTCAAGATACAGAATACCCTTGCCGGTATACATATGACTATGCCAGTCACGTTCAAGTGCCACGTATTTCAACACTCAATCCGACTACATTTTTGGCGGACCAGCGGGCCGCCACTTCTCCTAGTGCAATACGAACTATTAAAAAAACTTGAAAGGACATTGTTAGAATCTTGACCCTATGAGTCTCGCACACACCTTATGTAGATCATTCACGCTTCTCCAATCCCTAGGGCGAAGGTATCGACTTTTTAATCTGGGACCTCCTGGTCCCGACACGGAAACTTTCCTCAAATCCCAGGAAATCCCTTATCCTGCGGATGTATTGAGAATTTTAAGCCGGAGCAGGGATTATTTGCAAAGTGTCGTCGCTACTAATTGTCCCTTTGAGGATTTCTCATCCCTTCGAACGTATCCCTTTCGGGAAGGGTTGTCGATAGAGATTGAAAGGGAGTTGGTTTTGCGCTCGACAGATAATGTGGGGTCAAGTGGGGTTGCGAAAGAACCGGCACGTTTCAATCAAGCTGAGCAGTCAGTGTCTTGAATGCCCAGTGCTGGAAAAAGGGGCATTAGTTACCATCTAAGTTAACCTCATACAACATACAACAAAAATAATTGTTATACAGGGTGTTTCAGTTTATTGTTGCATAACTTTAAGATTCGATAGAACTTTTAAAATTAATGCATAAAGTCAATATAAACATGGGTCGAAAAATGCGTGGCTTCCGAAATACAGGGTGTTTAAATTTACTTTTTAAAATAGTTTTTTTTTAAATGTTTCGAAAAATATTCAATGTATAACAGTGAAAATCGGTATACAAGGGTTTTTTAGTACGACAAAACGAACCATGGGCATAGTTTTACTGTAGCCGCTAGAGGGCGCTCTCTACTGTACCTGTAGTGTAGTAAAATGACCGAACATTTTTTCTTAGTGCAATTTTTTGCTTTTTGAATAAAAAAACTGATTCTTCGCACTTTTCAACATAAAAAAGCTCTCTTGTGAATTTTCGTTATAGTTAGCCGTTTTTGAGATATTTCGATTTTTAAGGTTCGATGCATTTTTAATTATTTATGATAAAATAACGTTAAAAAGTCAGTATCTCGATAATTTTTAGAAGTAGGCTGTGCCTGCAAATATTTTTGAAATTCGAAAGCAGAATAAGATTAAACGTCAATTAGTTGACAGTTAGTTTTGTTGTCTGTTGAAACCTGAAAGGTTTTTTTTGCAATTGTGAATGCACGAAATTTAGTTTCTTTTACCTGTTCTTTTTTTTGTAAGTTATATAAAAATGCCATTTTTATTCTCCATTCAAGAGTTAGCGTATATTCATTTTGTGTATGGCTTTGTAAATGGAAATGCAGCAGAAGCAGCCAGAGAATATGCACGAAGATTTCCAAACAGACGACATCCAACTCGCTCAGTATTTGTAAGAGTGCATCGCCAAACAATTGAAAATGGTTTTGGAAATCTCCAAAGGGATCAAAGCATAAATGTTCGTCAGCGCAGATTTACCCGCGTATGATTCCGCGTGAGTTTGATAGAGATCCGACCACAAGTGTTAGGAGAGTTTCTGGTGCCTTGGGAATTTCAGCAAGCCATGTTCACCGCGTTCTTAGAAATGACCATAGACGGCCTTACCATTTGCAACCTGTTCAAGGACTACAACCAGTGGACGGAGAACGAAGAATCACATTTTGTCAGTGGATTCTTGATAGAACTGATAATAATAGGGAGTTTTTAAGTAACGTTCTATGGACCGATGAGTCATGCTTCACTAGACGTAGAGTGGTAAATTTTCATAATCAACATGTTTGGTCGCATGAAAATCCGCATGCAGTTCGGGAAAGAAATTTTCAGCATGAATTTAGTGTGAACGTGTGGATTGGTATCTACCGTAATCGACTATTTGGACCCTACCTTTTGCTTGCAAGGTTAAATGCTGCCGTCTTGGAATTTTTAAAGGCTGAACATGCAAATATGTGGGATGATGTTATGTTAGATTCAAGAAGATTGGCCTGATTCTAGCTTGATGGTCGTCCAGCTCATTATTCGAGAATAGTTAGAAACTGGCTGGACGAAAATTATCCAGATAGATGGATCGGCCGTGGAGGACCAGTCGCCTGGCCTCCACGATCCCCTGACCTAAATCCATTAGATTTCTTCTCCCGTAACCACAAGAGATATGCTAATAGACAGAATCAGGAATGCATGTGATGAAATAAGGCATTATTTGAATAATGCTATACCACGTTCGATCATTCGTAGATGTGAATTGTGTATTGAACAATTGGGTTTACATTCCGAGCAACTACTTTAGATTTTGTATGTTTGTTCTAACTATCCAATAGCATTTTAGTTGTCAATAATCAATTTAATTTGTTAAAAATAATATTGGAAAATTAAACAAATTAATATTCTGTGTTTTTGTGTGTATTTGGACTTAGGAATTATTGCTGTGTTTAAAAACACAATCTAAACGATCATCTTAATTTTTTGTAACGCCCAAATCGAAAGTTTAAAAAAAATATTATTTTCCCATAAATAATTAAAAATGCATCGAACCTTAAAAATCGAAATATCTCAAAAACGGCTAACTATAACGAAAATCCACAAGAGAGCTTTTTTATGTTGAAAAGTGCAAAGAATCAGTTTTTTGATTCAAAAAGCAAAAAATTGCACTAAGAAAAATTTTTCGGTCATTTTAATACACTACAGGTACAGTAGAGGGCACCCTCTAGCGGCTACAGTAAAACTATGCCCATGGTTCGTTTTATCGTACCAAAAAACCCTTGTATACCAATCTTCACTGTTATACATCGAATATTGTTCAAAATATTTAAAAAAAAACTATTTTAAAAAGTAAATTTAAACACCCTGTATTTCGGAAGCCACGCATTTTTCGACCCATGTTTATATTGACTTTATGCATTAATTTTAAATGTTCTATCGAATCTTAAAGTTATGCAACAATAAACTGGAACACCCTGTATATGTTTGTAAGTTAAACTGAACACGAAATACGTTTTTTTTTCTATACGTAGGGGCATTCCGGGAGAGTTTAGGAGGGAGTTAGTAGCTATCAAATTAATAATGCGTAGTTATTGCCGTTTTTTACACTCACGCCTTAAAGCGGTTTTCCACTAAACGGACAGTTGAGTCTATGTTGTGTTTGTATTCTCAAAAACCAGAGAAACAAAACTCAAATAATCCAAAAACTCTTGTTTGCATCAAGTGGGGTATATTTTGTTCGAGTTTTGTTTTTATTTTTGCTGCTTTAAAATTGGTTGTCGTGGTGAAGTCAAAGTTTTTCTTAAATAACATGTTTTGAGAAGAAGCTTGCTTTTTTATTCTCAGTCATGGATGATAGTGAAGCCCTTGAAAAAAGTAAGTCTACATATGTACGGTGTCTATGATAAACTAGCTGTGTCTGTAACTATATGTGACTATAAACTAGCCAAGTAAACGCTTTAACCGTACATATGTATTTATTAATGGTTAGAATAGTATTATTTTTTAGGAGATGAATAACACGCTCACACAGATATAGAGTTCAAGCACACTTATCTAGAAGAGTAAACGATAATGCTGCAAAATTGATAAATGATATCGAAAATGTTGACATTGGATTGCATGGGGAACATCGTACCTCATTTAAAAATTTTATGAGAATTTCCTCCTCTATTTTAAATAGCTAATTACATTAATTGGCCAGAAAAGTTACAAAGACGCACACTTTAGAGATTCAATTTCTGTTAAATTTCGCGGAACATGCAGAAAGTGCATAAGATATCCACATAAGTCTTTAAGTACTATTAGCGGTTTACTATCCAACTTTAATCATGGCAATACCTATCTATTCACTCTTATGTGGAAAACAGGTGAAGTCGCCTGAACTTCCACTATATATAGGCAATATATTCGCATTTGATAGGAAGCATATTTTAGTTCGAATTTTTTGCATACCCTTATTCAAAAAGAGCTCCTTTCAAGGAAGCTGCAGGTTAACAAGACCAAATTTGTGCCAAAAACCTTTTAAATAATTTTTATAAACAAGTTCCAAAATAGTATTTTGGGGCGGTCTGAACAGAAACGGTGTTATAGAATTTTTCTCTATAGTTGATAATTTTCAACATATAAGCCCGTACCATATTTGAAAAAAGGCGAAATATATAATTTTCGACTCCAAAAATTATTGAAAGACTTTAATGTTGCCAATGATCCCAAACATTCGTCAATAAAGTCTTTGAGCATTTTAGGACGTATTGTTATTGTTAGCCTATTTGTGGAATTTGTTAAAAAAATTGTTTAACAAACTTTTGACGCAAATTTGATACTGGTAACATGTAGATTCGTTAAAAAGGGCCCTTTGTCAATTAGATTATGCAAATCAGAATATGTTTCCCATCAGATGCGAAGATATCTCCACTTTTCAAATAACTAGATCGCTTATTCTTGAATACATTGAGAGCTTTGAATAATTTTAGAGAAAGATGGTACGCATTCTTAGAGAAGCTAGTGATCAATTTAAAAGTCAGGACACATTAACGGAAAGACCTAAAAATTATGAACAGAAGGCTTGCGACAATAGATTAAATCAAAAAGCAACATTTTGTGTTTTTCCGTTCACAACCACTTTCTTGAGCTGGTTTTTTCGTATTTTGAGCCACAAGTCAGTTTCTCTAAGCTCTGAAGGACAGGTATCAGGTGAAAATAATTTCCCCAGTAGATGTTGTATCTACCGATTTTGCCTTTGACAGGTTTCGTCATGCCGTTCTATTGAATAAACTTAAAAATTATAAGCGTAGATTGTTCCGCTTTGCTGTTTTTTGAGTCATATCTATCTGACAGAAGCCAATTTCTCTCATACAATAGTTATATCTCTTATAAACATGCTTACAAATCAGGAGCGCCGCAAGGGTTAAGTCTTCGTCCATGTCTTTCCACATAATTTATAAACGAGTTATGTGATACTCTCAGTTGTAACAAACTTGTTTATGCTGACGACTTGAAAAATTTTATGTTACAAGTATGGAATATTGCAATACCTTAAAGTGGAACTGGATAATATTCAGAATTGTCATCAAGTCAACAAACTTTGTTTGAATGTGAAGATGTGTAAAGTGTTGTTTATGACTCGAATTTGGCTTTTGTTGAGCATATCTCCATAATGGTTAATGTCGCGTCAAATGCGTATGGATTCATATTGAGAAACAGTTGATATTTCATTCATGTTAGAGCTACACTATGTTTGAATGTTGCCTGTTCAAAATTTTAAATTATTTGGTATCTCCATTACTCTAGACATAAGATCTTAACTTCCTAGAAATACGCCTCATGGGTATCTTAATTATAGATTTGATCTAGAAAGTCTGCATGTAAAACATAAATGTGATTCTTTAACGATTTTGTACAAGCTAGTACTAGTACCCTCTGTTGTGAGAGAGCTAGAACTAATTTGCTTCTAAGTCATCGGTATCAATTATGTGTGAAAATTTAAATTTAATTTTTGCTGTTTGTGATATAAATTTTGACTGTATATCGAAAACACTGAATTGCGCTAGTTTTTATTCGATCAGAGAAATCCCATAAATGGACTGTCCTGTTCTTAATATGTCTAGCATTCAGCTTTAATTTTATATAGCAAATGTCTTCTCTATAAGTTTGTTCATAGATACTTGACAATGACAGTAACCGTATATTATGTTTTCTCTGTAATGGCTGACTCAATTATTGTTTATTATAACTATTGTTATTATTATTGTTATTAATACTGTAGTTGTATGATAGTTCTCAGTGGCGAAGGATCTATGAGCAAAAAACAAAAAAAAAATCGCTCAAACTTCATTTTTTGTCATTTCATCATTTTTGGATGGTTTAAAATTGGGGGTTGTTGGAAGTGGAAAAGGTTATATCAAAATTTTTTGGCGGTAGCATATTCATACTCTCTTCTAGCCCGGGTAATTCTAGGTTCCTGTTAGACGTATTTCAAACATCATACTTTTTCTTCGTACATTTGACACGCACCCTTTGAACAATAAACCATCGTAGCCATATTTTGAAGTCGTTATGAATTTCCAGATAATATGATTTATTTGAAAAGTCGTTTTTATTATTATTCCAGAGGAAAGTATTGATGTGACCAACGAAGAAGACGAGGAGACCCCATCTGGTTGCGGTGTGTCCTCTAGTAGCGGTCCCGTACGACCTGAACCACTTACAGCTGGACTGTACCCGACCTCTGCAGAAACAGTTTACGAAACTTCTGCTAGGTTGCTCTTCATGGCTGTCAAATGGGCGAAGAACCTGCCTAGCTTCGCCAGCTTACCTTTTAGAGATCAGGTAAGCTTCAGGAAGTTTTGAGTCACCATGACGGAATGTGTGCCAAATCCTTGTAGTCCTATCCTTTGGGCAAACGGCTAGTGAATATAGATTTATACGGGTGCAAGCTTTTTTGTCTGAGAGTCACTATACAGGGTGGCCCATCCATGTGTGGACGAAATATTACTCATAAATAAATACATTTTGGGAAAATCTATTTATGGCATGTCATCAGCTTATACCTTATTTGCTACTTCTTAGAATTGTCATTTTTGCTCATACAGGGTGGTCAAAAACGCAAAAATTTTATATGCATCACCCTGTATATTTGTGCAAGTTTGGCGGCAATTTTTTGGTATAAAGTTTGATTCAGATAAAATCACTAGATTTTGAGTTATTAAGCTTTTAATAGAACAACACACCAAAATTAAGGAAAAAAAATTCATCCATGGAAACAAATGACAAACAGTGGGCTAGTTCCATATTGCCACCAAGAGCACAGGTTTAACGTAAAAACTAATAACAATCAGAACAGTATAAATCAGCTTCAAGCGTAATGGAGAAAAACAACCATAACAATAACATAAAAAAAACACTATTACTACTCATGACCTAATCTACAAAAACTGCTCGAAAATATCTCCACCATGTTGAAGACACGGCCGTAGCCATCCTTAATCCTTTCTGTTACTCCAGGTGTCCAAATAGTTACGCACACGATTATGATAATGCGCAGGAGCGCCGTCATGTTGGAAGTACATATGCATCCGAGTTTGCAGGTTGACAACTTCCAAAAGCAAAGGGAAAAGCTCGATCAAAAAATTCAAGTATTCTGTACCTGTTGTCGAAAAAGAAAGGCCCGATAACTTGTCTGCTAATAACTCCCCCCCAAACATTCAAGCTCCATTTATTTTTCAAATCTATTTGCCTAACCCAGTCAGGGTTTTCCGTCGCATAATAGTGCATGTTCTGCCTGTTGACAACACCTATGCTGTTAAAACTTGCCTTATCGCTAAAAAGAACCTGATCCAGGAAAGTAGTGTCTTCAATCACTTTATTTAGCATTATTCTACTAAACTCCATTCGAGCTGCGATATCCTGAGGACGAAGGCCTTGATGAAAGCATAGGTGATATGGATGGTACCTATGCTTGTGAATAATCCTTTGGACAGAAGTTTTGCATATATCAGTTTCTGCTCCAATTTGCCGTGCACTTAAATGGGGATCTTCCTGCAACTTTAATAGAACCTCCAACTGATTCGCCTCATTGGTGACACTTGGTTTATTTATACACTTTTTACTATATTCCACTGCTCCACTTGATTCAAATCGTTCTCCTAGTGTGGAAAATGTTTCAGACCTTGGATGTCCCATATTAGAGTACCGTTGCATATAAATGTGAGATGCGACGAAACTATTTCTTTGGGCTTCGCCACATTCCATTTTTTCACCATTTTTTCTTTACAAAAATTCATTTTCAAACACATTTTTATTATAATGCTCTCAAAGCTAATTTTGACAGTTTGTAACTAATCACCAATTTATTTGTTTCCAAGGATGATGCGATATCTTATGGAATTAAGCCGTTCCATAAAAGATGTGCTAATAACCGAAAAAATAGACGTGAAAATCATTATGTGTGTAGTGTCAAAAAAAGCTTATGAAATATTGATTCCAAACTTGCACAAAAATACAGAGTGATGCATTTGAAACTTTTGAGTAAAACTACAATCTGCGTTTTTGACCACCCTATATGAGCAAAAATTAAAATTCGAAAAAGTAACAAATAAGATAAAAGCTGAGGTGTGTAAGTTTTTTTGATACAAAATTCAGCACTCTAAATTTCCAAATGGCGGACTGAGGAGTTGCCGAAGTCGGGGTTTTTTTAGACAAAACAACTTATATCTCAGTAGCTAATTAGCAAAACCCCATAGTATGTTATATCAATTTTCTTCCCTGAAATTCATTTATCCAAATATGCAATAAAATTTGAGGCAGTCTATTTGAAAAATCACAACTTTGATATGTAGGTCGAAATTCTGATACCCTGTATAATGGCGAATATTGTAGAAATGTGCCCTCAAATGTCATGTTTAACATCTCATAAATATATTTTCTCAAAATGTATTTGTTTATGAGCAATATTCCGTCCACACATGGATGGCCCACCCTGTAGATGCGTTCTTCTGGTATGGATACCCCTGCGAAGCGTTGGACCTTTTGACAGCTCAGACGCGTAGTTTCCGCTTTTTTAGAATTTCCGTAACATGAAAGAAAGCCAGTTTAAGTTTTTGACTAAAGTAATAGAAAAATCATAATAAAGTACATATATTCAGAATAAAAAAACAGCTTTAACTAAAAATATACAGGGTGTTCCATTTCAAAAATACTTCATTCGGCAGCACTTCTCTGAGATACAAAAAACTGCGTTGCCAGAGGAACTTTATATTATATTTTTTTGTATTAAACCTTTTTCTAAAGGCTCGTGTAAAAAAGCTAAGTGTAGAGTCAGTTAGCTGCAACCCTCTGTATAGTACTTAATAATAGGCCCAACACAACTTGCAATGCTCAGAGCAATGGACCGTTATTACGGTCACGATACAATCCAGTCTAAGGTTTTCATACAAAATTGTTTCAGCGATTTTTATGCTATGTGGTACCATCTTCTTATTTGGGATTAACAATTTGCTTAAAGGTTAGCGTTAGCTTCACATAGGATTAGAAATAGGTACTACAATAAAATATCGGAAAGACGACTGAAATTATTCCTTTCTTACTTATAGGTAATATTACTAGAAGAATCTTGGAGCGAACTATTTCTACTGAACGCCATTCAATGGTGCATGCCCTTGGACGTTTCGTCAAGTCCATTGTTCAATCCCGGAGAACATGCCAAGAATGGACACTCTGCAGCAGATGTCAAAATTCTCGCAGATACTCTACTGAGGTTTAAGGCGATTCATGTTGATCCTGCAGAGTTTGCGTGTCTCAAAGCTATAGTTCTGTTTAGAGCTGGTAGGTACATCTCCATTTTTAACTTGAGCCGCTTTCCAGAGCTTTTGAATCGAAAGTTGTATGCACCCGGAGTGTCACGCTCCCGAACTGCTCTAGCAAATTTGTACGGGAACGCAAACATAAAACCCTAAGCTGTTTTTTGTTGTTTTGGTTTGAATTTTAAAATTTGCATCGCACTGCCAAACTAACAATGAAAATGTGAAACACATTTTGCCTTTATTTTCAGAAGCATTTTCAAGATTATTCAGTTGATGCCTGATGATGTGTTTACAATGATGGTGAAATACGTCAGAAGTAAAACTTCTGGTGAAATGTGTAGACATTCAAAATTATTTTCAAAGTGACTAGTTATAGATGAAACTAACAACTACAAGCGCTATGAACTTGCCTTCTTGCGCTCTCTTGTGATATTTATTATTCAGGTACATTTAAAATGTACGTTGTGATTCTGGGTCGTACATTATCAGTTTTTCTACCATCCTCCATTGTCTGGTATTGGTTTATTGTGAGTTTAGTGCAAAAAAACCTGTGAAAAAATATAACCTAACAATCTTGACACATTGTTATTTTCGTTATTCCCACTATTTCGGAGCGTATAACACAATAAAAGGCTGGTTCAAAAAATGAGTAGCTCTGGTGCATAACACTCTAGATCAGTGGAACGGGATTGAAAGGTGGTGAGCAGTACCGAGTTACACCGAGTAACACAAATGAGGCACTGGAAAGCGGCTTTGACAGGGTTGCCATGTAGGGGGGATCTTCCTCAAATTTGAGGGATTTTTACTGGGGAAATTTTTCGGGGCTATAATAGTCTGGGGAAATCACATGTTTCGCGGATAGAAAGCTTCTTCCATTCTTCGAACTAAACTTACTTAATTAACTGTAATTTGTTTTTTTAAGGTAGTTATTTTGAAGAGTTTTTCTGCTTTTTCTGTCTGACCCATCTAGCAATGCTGTGCTTTGACAGATCCGCCATATGAACACACCTTTCTGCGCATGCGTACTCGTTACGATTACTGCACCCTCAATCATGCGTCAAGTTTTTGAGTTGCTTTTTTTCTCATTTCGGTGGTTCTCCTGACCATGATTTACACATTTGTCAGCAAAATCTTGGATTTCATTATATCAAATCACCGCAGTAGAGACTTGCCGGTTCGTTAATTTTATTAACCATAACCGTGTCTATTGACGCGTTATTACTTGATATGTCATGTAGAGTTCTTATGTCAATTTTGACTGTTTTGTGGTTTTTGGTTATACATTGGTTTTTGTTGTATATTTAGATGGTCTTGGATTTGTGGTTTGAGTAACGGAGGAACTGAAGTCTGGTACTGGCAGTTGACAGTAGTCAGTACTGATAAGTGACCGTCCATTACTGTAGTTTGCGTTCAAAAGCTCTTTATTAAAAAATCGGTAATAACCACACACATTGACGTTTAAAGTCGTTATGTCACCAATTTATTAGTTAGTAACTGTAAACATATAGTGTAGATTTGGCAACATTTGTTAATTAACGCTTTCATTTTGTCATCTCAGATAACCTAATTCACTTTTGCTAGCTCGCCATTTACATTTCCAAGGTATATATCAGAATATGCTGTTAGTGTTTCATTTCTTTCAGTGCTTAAGCTTCACGTCAGAAAATAGCTACATTCATCTTATTCCATTGATGCACAACGTCTGAGATCCTAATTGTTATATTGCCTACAGAAACTCGAGGACTAAAGGACCCCAGTCAAATTGAAAACCTGCAGGACCAAGCACAAGTTATGTTGTGGCAACACTGTCGAACGCAACTACCAGGTCAGGTTGCCAGGTTTGGCAGGTTGTTGCTCATGCTGCCACTTCTCAGGATAGTACCAGCTGTCAGGATCGAAGCTGTTTTCTTCCAAAAAACCATCGGAAATACACCGATGGAAAAAGTTTTATGTGACATGTACAAGAATTAGACGTGATTTGTTCTGAGTTCTTGATTCAAAGTTGAAACGTGTAGTTGTAAAGCTATAGCCTCATAATTTTTAAATGAATTCCAAAATGTCAACAAAAAGTAGCACATACACTTGAGAAGCAAAGCATACAGATTTTGTAGGATTTATCGCATATACGAGGTCGGTCCGACAAGTACTTATCCCCACAGCCTGATGGCGCCACTATCGCAGGAGAACTTACTATCGTGTACATTCTCGTAGGTGGCTACTGTCAAAATCGGACTCGATGTTTCATTTTGACAGCGTGTGGGTGTGGGCGTGTCTGAGGATTTTAGAGAAATGGAACGCGTCGGTTTTTGATGAGCCTTGCCCAGGTGCCCCGAAAATGGCTACCACGGAGGATAACGTGACAAAAATCCACGATTTCGTATTGACTGACCGCCGATTGAAGGTGCGCGAGATAGGTGAGTCACTAGGCATCTCAAAGGACCGCGTGGGTCATATCCTGCATGGAATATTGAACATGAGGAAGCTGTGCGATGGGTGCCGCGTTTGTGAGACCACTTCAGAGTGTTTGACGCTGTTTAGGCGCAATCCAGAGGAGTTCCTGCGTCGTTCCGTGACCGTCAACGAAACATAGATCCACTAGTACACACCAGAGACCAAGGAACAGTCGAAACAGTGGACTTTACCAGACGAACGTGCTCCGAAGAAGGCGAAGATTGTCCTATCGGCCGGAAAGGTGATAGCCACCGTTTTCTGGGATTCACTAGGTGTGATCTACATCGACTACCTGGAGAAGGGCAACACAAACACATGGCTTTCTCAGACTATGCCGAATTATGGGGCCGATTTGACGCCAACTGCAGAAAAAAAACAGGTGGCGACAAAAAAGTGGTCTTCCACCATGACGTTTGCCGTCGCCTCGGCCAATTAAGCTACGAACTGCCGCCCCATCCACCACATTCTCCAGATTTGGCCCCGTGCGACTTCATTTTGTTTCCAAACTTGAAAAAGTCACTCCCGGGCTGCAATTCGAGTCGAATGAGGAGGTTATCGCCGCCGCAGACCTCCAGAAAACGTATTTTTCAGACTCGTTAAAGAAGCTGGAGCATCACTAAGTCAAGTATATCCAGCTAAAAGGAGACTATGTTGAGAAATAAATCACCACTTTTTAAAAAGGAGCGTCCTCGTATGTATGGAATTTATAAAATTTGTATAAAGAATGAAAGGATATGAATTGAAACCGAGTTTTCAAAATTTCTCCTTTCTTACTCCAGAAAATGCTCTCAAACAATTTCAGCTGATGGCAGATGGAAATTAAGACGCGAGGTGAGTCAGGCCACTAAGATTATAGGCGAGTCAAATTAGTAGAGTTGCTAAATGGGTGGATAATTCAGAATTTTATTTCTCACAGTCCAGCTTGAGGCAGTAGAACTGACTGTAGGATATACATTCCCAGGCGGTTTGATTCTGAATTAGCCATCATTCTATCAACGTTACAAACTTACTCAAATTTGATTATGCTGTAACGGCATCCAATCGCGGACCTGCACCTCCATTGACCAAAGCTAGACATAAATGATGGATCCTAAGCAATTCTGAACCAATATTTTAACTCCAGAGATGTTGAAATGAGGCTATTGTGTATGCTGCACCATGTAGATAATTATTGTATTAAGACTGAAATTTTTTGTAAATACTCAAATAGATAGCACTGCACAGATATAGATAAATATGCCAACGTTTTCGATATCAACGAGTACTCACTTCTTTAAGGGCACAAACGTATTCCAAATATTATAAAAGAGTGTTGACTCCATTTTCTAGTCGTTACTTGTAGAAAGATCCTATGTTGTACATAATTTGATGTTGACTTGAAGGCGTACTAAAGATCTCTCGTAAAAGAATGTGATGTTATTAGATGTAATAATACTTATTATATGTACCTGTAAATGTAATATAAGTTGAAACAATATCTTAAAACACTGTATGGCCTACCTTTTCTCCCTATATTACAATGGCCTACGGTAATTTTAATGTCATTCTGCGCAAGCCACTGCAACGAGCTTTCGCCACAACGATTTTTTTGTTTGGACTACATAGGAGCAAGTATAGTCAACGCCAAACAAAGTGGTGTGCACGTCATCAAGGTGGGTGTGTTGAAAAATTTACATTGTTGCCAAACTTTTTGTAAAATAATAAAATTTATTATTTACATATCTAGGTTTATAAGCAATATTAACCTCAAATGAGAACAAAAATAATAGTACAATAAAATTATAGATCTGTACTTGCATAATCATTAAGTATGACAATTATTGATCAGATGACACTACGAAACTACCATATTTAATTGATAGCTTAAAGGTACTGAATAAAAATCCAAATGGGGTCCTCCAAATTTTATGCATGGTATTTATTTTACAGAATTCATACAGAAAAATGCATTCTAAAATTAGGTAAGCTACTGGTGTAAGCTTTTTCTGTACAATAAAGTTAGTCGGAGTTTCTTTCTTCAGCGCTGTCTGAATCTGAATCTTCATCACTCTCAAAGTTGATTATTAAAGGTTCGATGTCTGGTCGATCAAAAATTCGTTCTCTTTCATACCATTTAAAAATTTCTTGCTCAGTATGTCGAACACTATTTTTCCACATGTCTGGGGTAACCGTTTGTAGAGCCTCGTTCCACATATCCAAACAGTCTTTTCCACTGTTACCATCTCTACCATTATGTCTGTTATAGTAACCTTTTGCTATGCCCCAAATTAACTCAATAGGGTTAAATATACAATGGTAAGGAGGCAGACGAAGAACTTTGTGCCCATGTTGTTCCGCCAATTCATCAATCACGTATATTTTAGGTGGTTTGTTTCTAAAAAAGCAGTTATTTTAGGAATAGGAATAAACAAAAGAAATATAAACTGTCGACCAAAATATATATAATTAAGAAGCATTATGTACCGAGCAACAATACTCAATAGCTCTGTTTTAAACATTGTGTTTAAAAATGGTATGTTTTGATTTGTCAACCAGTCTTGGATATTTTTTTTTGTCCATGCATTGTTGGGCACTTTACTTTGTTCAATATCATGCTGTGATAAGGGGCGTTATCCAGTATAATCATAGATGGACTCTCCAATTTTTCTAATAACTGATGTTGAAACCATTTCAAAAAATTGTCCTGGTTCATCTCTCCATGGTAATCGCTCAATTTTGTTTTCGAAGAAAATATCGCTTCACTACCCTCAATAAACCCATTTTCATTTCCAGCATGTAATATAATGTATCTAAAATATATTAGTTTTAAATTTTATAGTGCAAATTGTGTAAAAGTACATACCTTTTACCATCTGTTTTGATACCTTTCACGCTTTTTTGGTTTCCATTTTGCCAAGAGCGACCTATGGTCCCATTTTGAAATATCCAAGTTTCATCGAGGAAGACAAACTGGTATAAGGCCTCAACCTTGGCTTGATTGTATTGCCTTAGAAATTCCACCCTTTTCAAAGCTATACTTGGTAGTTCCATGAGCCCTCGTCGCGGATTGTCCTTAAGCCACTTAAATCCAAGATCTCTAAGCAACCGCCTTAAAGACGTGGCACTACCATCAAATAATGCCCTATCTCTTAATCGAGACCATAAAGTTTGTATCGTAACTTGTTCTTCTGAAACCATGTGTAATATGACATTATAATTTAGTTAACAAATTAATGCAAATTTCTGATAAGTTATTATAATAAGATCTTACTTTTGTGATACATATTATAGATCACTTCTCGAATGGCACTTGTATCCAATGTCGCTGTGTTGGTTACACGTTTAATATAACTCCGCTTTTTCTTGGGCGATTCTAAATTTGCATCACTTTTCACACCCTCGGAAATACGACTAACTGTCCTTAAACTAATTTTTAAAGCAGCAGCAACACGCTACAAAAAATGAAATAAAATTTCACTATTATTAATATACATTACATATAATTATTAGTAACCTACCTCTTGAACAGCATTTATAGGTAACAAAGGCCCGTTGTTGTCCCTTTCTTGCTCAAAGTAGTGCATTAACGAGGCCACGAGTTCCTTACACCGACTATTTAACTGTTTGGGCATCTTTATATACCAAAATTGCCTTTATCTACTCGTAAAATGAATAATTTTGTTTTGAAACAAACAGTTGTTGATTTACAGTATGCGGGGCCAAAGGATTTATAAAGATTTGAAATGCCACAAATTGATTCAGTGTCAAAATTAATACAAATGTCAGTTCCCAGTTTAAATAAGTTTCAAGGTGACAATGTGTCAACGCTGCGAAATCGGTTTAGTGCGTTTACATGTCGATAAGTGATTGGAGCGTTTGCAAAACATTTTATTTCGCATAATGCGTCTAAATTTATCAGAAAGCAACTTATGTGATATTTTAATAACAATGTTTATATGACTATTAACCATAATAAGAGAGTAATGACCATTTTACAATTTATATATCACATTAATATGAAACTGCAATAGAGCAATTGTTTGTGATAGAAACCTAGGCATTAGGTCGGGGAATTTTTATCGTGATGACGTGCACGCCACTTTGTTTGGCGTTGACTATATATGATTTGTTTATAACCAAAATTACATAGTCACTAGTCAAGATGTAAGCTCATACTACAAAACAATCAGGCTTAAGCTGCCAGTTTGACAGTTTTTTTACATCACACATTAAATTTGTACTTTTCTGCGAAAACAAAAAACTTGAGCTACATACAATCATAGTATTCCAGACAGTTGCCGGAATTGGTGGAGATTTCTGTGGATTGTGAAAAGTAGTTTAACTGGAAAATAGCAAGTCTTTGTATCCGTAAGTGTTATACCGGGTATCCAAGATAAGGATCTTATGCATGGGGATAACAATACCTGTGGGAGATACAGCTTAGGTTAAATTAAAAAAAAAAGCTGCGTTCTTTGGGTAAATTTCATGGCTTGCAGAGGTATTTGGGAAAAACTAAAATTTGGTCAAGTCGTTCTAATCGTCTTTACTTTAAGAAAAACTGATTGAACATTTTCATTGGCACTTCTTAAGCGCTATATGATCATGTTTCTAAATTTTATGTCCGACGTTTTGTTTTTAAGAAATTATCAACAACTTTATTTTTTATATGGCCCGAAAAAAGTTCATCCTGTATCTGATAACATCTTTTGCCACGTATTCAACGATTTATCACATGTTACATTTGTTTTCTTATTGATAAAGAAAGGTGTGTTTCTTCAATTTATTTAAGTAGACGTTGCAAACAAATGCTTTTGATGTAAGATTATGTGATTACTGACAGATGCGTACTCCATACTACATAATGATATGATGACGCAAAATTTTATAAAAGGTATTTTGATCTAGCGATATTCATAAAAAACAAATACATGTTTAATATTATTTTTATTTTATTAACAATAGGTGTTTAAATAGTTTGCCATTATTTTTAAACATAAATATGACTTGACAGGAGAATTAAAATCATCACCTAACGTTCGCTTTCCTACTGCTCAGTTTTAAAAGCATGCTGATAAAATTCTTTTTCAATTGAACCCCAAACAAAAAATTCCAGGAGGTTCCAATCCACCTTCCGGGAAGTCGCTGAGAAAAATACTCGCCTAGAACTATGTGCGGGAACATCGTCTTGTTGATACCAACAGCTATTAACCTGTGCCAAAGGTAAATCATCCAGGCAGTCTTCTAGATCATGTTGCAATAATTGAATGTACTGTTCTGCAGTTAATGAATTGTGGTAAATAAATGCACCTAATATTTTGGTCTCTAGAATTCCACACCACATATTGAACCCAAATCGTTCTTGATGTCTGGATACTGTTCTGGCCCGCATAATATCTTGAGCCCAGTAATGTGAATTGAAGCGATTAAATATACCATTACTAGTGACCATAGTCTCGTTGGACCACATTATTCTTGAAGGGAAATCAAAATCTCCTTCATACATCTGTGTACCACTCACAAAAATGCTGGCGCCGTTTGCTACTCGCTGTTCTGAGTCCTTGGAAAATCCTGAATTTGTTGTTACCAAAAATAAATTGGGCTGTGGATTTGGCAACTCCTACACTTTTCTGAAGTTGCTTAGTTCATATCTCAGAGTTCTTAGCAACTGCTTGTAAAACACTATTTCCGAGTTTCCTCTAAAAATTCCGTATTTCCAGGCGTAACAGGATTTTTCAATTAATCGTATTGATCTAAATTTCAAGCCAACACTACGAAATTGGGCTTACTTGGCTTCCTTCTTTCGGAAAATTTATTAAGATAAAGTATCTTTTCTTTGTAGTCACAAAATGTACCACGCCGGCATGTCGGACTTTTCTTCATTGCTAAAATGATCGCTTGGTATCTTTGACGATAATTTAACAATATTAGCAATACAGAATAATAAAAATATTCAGGGACAGCCATTTATGTCAAGTCAAGCGATTTCTTGCAACGCCTACCTAAAAAATGAAAAGAAAAATGGCATTTTTCCTTATGACCAAGAAAATGAATGGTGTACCTTTTTTCGGACCATATGAAGAAATAAGGTTGGTGATGGATTCTCAAAAACGAACCGGTGGGCACAAAACTCAAAAACACCATCATGTCTAAAAAGTGTCAAGCGTTCAATTATTTTTTGAATATTGCTTAAAATAAGGTCAGAAAAAAATTAAAACCGCGGATTACTTCAATACAAGTATTACCATCTGGTGGAGACGACACGAACCCTTGCCCTTTCTCTTCTCAACTGAAATTATTGATCGATCCCGAGATACAATTTAGAATGACTCCCCCTTTGTAGTGGTGGTCTACCGGTTATGTGTTTGTGCCCTTTCAATGAAGCGCCCTTGAATTTAGAACAGTGCTGCCACTTAGCAGTCATCCCTTGTATTTGCTGTCTACAACCACTGATGTCGGTAACTGCAAAATATTGGATTTCAACAGAAAT